GCCAAGAAAACTTTCTTTGACCTCCCTGATTGTGCCCAAAAACATTTCCTTGGTTTCCGTGAATCGCTTCGGTATCAAGTTTGCATTGCACAAAGAAAAGCAAAAAAAAAATCCTATGGCTATCTGGTTTGGCAAGCTGAATCATCTCTGATCTCAGTCATTTTGCACCACATATGTTTCATTTGCATAGAGAAAACAAAGAGAGGAGAAACTAAAGGAAAGTAGAGGGAAGTGGACAACCAAATGAATTACCTTTAGTCGGACTCGTAGGCGATCCGTTCTTGAGCTTAGGCACGCTCTTCGATCGCTTCAGTTTCCAATCCATGCCGGTCTGAGTTCAAGTTCTGGGAGAAGAATCTGAACTCAGGGTTCCTGTGTTTCCCCTTATGAACGAACAGCCATTTAGCTATGATCCTATAGACGATCACAAAAGGGTTTATGCTGTAACAACAGACATGCCTTTTGGGTTGTAGAAGCCTCCCCTCAACTGATGAAATTTCTCTTGCAGTTCCTTAGTCTGTTGAAGCATTGGTGCATCTGATTTTACCAAGAATGTAAGGCGCCACAAAGTGCCAGCTTTTCTTGTTCCAGTGCTGATTTTATTCCTAGAAGCTGCCAAGAGCAAAGTGTCATTTCTTCCAATGCAATTGGCTTGTCTTTTCCTAAAGCTTGGAGCTTCTACGGTGTTCCATTTTCCGACATAATGTCACTGTAAGATGGTAATTCAATAAAAATATGTTATGCAAAATTTGTTATTTCGCAATCATGCAAGAACAATGATGGAGACAGGATGGTGCACAAAACTGTTCCACACTGTCGCAGGCCTAGATTTGAACTTCTCAAACATCAAAAGCTCAATGAGGACTATTGGCTACTACCTCCATCCCAAATTATAAGACGTTTTGTTAGGCCATTTTAGCCTACCAAAACATCTTATAATTTGGAACAGAGGAAGTAGTTCCCTACTACCATGTCAGAAATTCTTTTGTTAGATTGCTTCGTGTATCACTCGAAGCAGAGGCAGCTGTTGCTCCCTGCTCCTGTTATTTGTTTTGTTGGGTCATGTGAGCCAATTGCTCCTTGTGATGCCTTTCTGTGGCTGCTATTTCCTTCTATAAAGCAAAGATGCACATACTTACGAGAATTCGACGAAAAGAGACGACACTACAAAAGGAACACATTTTAAGTTGTGCGACCAAACACATGGAATATTTTCAGGACAAATGCTTGATATTTCTTTAGATGTGCAATTTTCAGTCTGTTTCTCAAACATGTATATTTTTCAAGTACCAGCTCAAGGCTATCTGATGTAGGGGTGTTCAACGGGCACAGCGAACAGAGATATAATTATTTCAAAAAGATATCAGGAAAGAGCTATTTCCTAACCAAATGAGGTCTGCCAGCCATTTAATGAGAAAGGTGGTCTTCATTTCCTAACCAAGTTTGGAAGCTTTTGAAGCAACACAGCTACAGTCACTGGATTTGGAACAAACCATCCACACTGTGCATGAATACCCCTACTTTCAAGTGTTGCTCCAACCAGTGATACGATACTGATAATACCAATATATTACGAACTGTATCACTGGTATCCATGTTTGATATTGGAAACGTAAGGCAACTGGGACTGAATATTACAATGCTGCATCAAGCAGCGTCATTGGCCTTAGGGAATTGGAAGTGTTGAATTGTTCTGCACTCCTCAAGGAAACACACCTAAAAAAACGAGCAACCAGTATCCGGTGCTGAGTGTAATACTATATTCGATTGTAAAGTGCAGCAGTAGTATGAATTATGAAGTTACATAGGACTTTGCTTTGGAAGTGCAGACCGATGCAAGATCCCTCATGGTAATGATGGAATCACTGAATATTCCTCTCTCCTTTCGTGAACTATAACTACTTTAAATCATTTTCTAACTTGGGGTAAGGAAAAGCCAGAAGTAATGCTGGAATAAATATGGATTTTTTTTGTTTGGTTTATTTTACTGCTTGCTGTATGATTTGGTTCAAAAAATATTAGCTAGGTTTATTTCGATAAAGAATAGTGCAAAACAGCATATCAAACACAAGAAAAGAATGAAAAAAAGAAAGCGAGAAAAAAAAAAGAGCTATGGATTGTCAATCCTAGAAATTTTGGTAACTCAAACGTGACTTTTGAAAACATTTGAAGATAAAATAGCATATGCTAACTGAATAAAATATCGTTTTTTTACTTCGATGTTAATAGATTTTTAATATGTTAGTACGTACTTTCTAGTCTTCTTACATCAATTTATTTAAGAGTGGTTTTATTTCACAGATGAACTCAAAGTTGTTGTATTTATACTGTATATAAAGGAAGCTATTTTTGTTCTCATTTTTAAAAGAAGTCTCATCTTTAAAATATCATTTTATTTCACAGATTTTGCGGGTCTCGAAGATCAATCGGCAACTGGACAGAAACAAGGGGCTGTTCTTGGACAGTCCCCCGGACCATGTTGGCACTAGATAAATAGAAGCTTCTCTTAATTTGCTTCCCGACATACGAGGAAGGCTCATCAGGTAAGATACGATGATGCTAAACAGGTATAGGAACATGACAGTTTCTGATTTCTGAAGAAATTTCACTTCAACCTGCATACGACGTGCAATGGGTTTCACTTCAGGTTGAAGTGAAATATTTGTAGGCTCTCTTCACCTTATGGTTTGTGAAAAAAAGGGTTTGCATTTTCCTCACCTGTTGCTGAATACAGTGTGCCCAACTGACCAAGGCTGGACTGTTCCTCTTTTTTCTTTTCCCTTTATTTCTTAGGAAAACAGGTTAGCTTGCAAAAACGTCTTATATTATGGGACGGAGGGAGTAGTATTTATTGCCAAAGAGTGCCCTGTTAATTTATCTCCAAAAGAAAACGAAACTAATAAACCTGCAATGTTCTATTGGAAAAAATAAATGCACAACATCCTGAATAAACCTGAAATATTCCGCAGATCTATAATAGTATTGGCAGCCTGGCATTATTCATCCTAGGGAATTCTGGACCATATTATAAGGCAAAGCTTGGCAAACCAGGATGTGCCATTTGGGATCAATTCATACAACATCAAGGCAGGATCGGTGACGGGTATGAGGGGGGAGGGGAGGCAGACTCTTAAGCAACTGTTCATAAGAGCATCTCCAATAGATGTAAAATTTGATGCCCTAAAACGATTATAGGGCAGGAGGGAGGTTTTTGGGCACCATGGCTGTTGTTGCTCTAATGGATGATGTAGAATTGGTGTCCAAAATTTTTGGCTTTCCTCTTTTTTACTCCACAATTGCATACATATTGAACCACAACATGACATGTCGTTGTATCTTACGATCAGGCCTGGAGCAAAGGATTTGACCTGGCCAACGTGGCTAGTCGGACTGACGACAAGGGTGATGCCGACGAAGGCGAACATTTGCCCCGGTGTGAAGATTGCGCCGGAGCCGATCTAAGCGTTGATTCGAATTTCCATCAAACCACGACGATCACCTAGTAGGACCTGCATGGGCCATCACTGTCAGAGCTAAATCTGGCAAATCCCTTGGTAGGGGCTCTAAGTAGGTGTCTTGGGACGATGGTAATAAGGGCACATATTTTCCTAAGGTTCAGATTCTCCAAGGAGACACTCCCTCTGTTTCTTCTTAGTTTGCATATAAGATTTGGTCAAAATCAAACTTTATAAAGTTTGACCAACTTTATAAAAAAAATTAGGAAAACACTTATTGCTTTTTCGAGCTCGATAAAAAGGAGTCCCGCCGGCTGATTCACTCGGGGAATCGGCCTTGCTCGCTGCCGTTCGATCAAATGTGATCAGATTGTCAGAGCACCGTTTTTTTTGCAAGAAAGTCAGAGCATCGCTTCGCTCAATCTAGTTCTCCAATCGGTCATGGCGTACGTATTCTCTCCCCCAAAATTTCGATGTGGCGTTGAAAGCTTCCTCTTTATTGCACGAAAGTTTTACAGTTTTTCAGTAACATCAGTCATGTTGCAAAGCTTTCTACGGTTACGTTATATGAAGGTGAAGTCTGCCCCCACAAAAAATATCAACATCTACAATACAAAAGTTATATGTTATGAAAATTAATTTTATCATCTATCTAATAATATTGATTTCATAGTATAAATATTGATATCTTTTCCTACAAAGCTAGTCAAACTTTACAAAGTTTGACTTTTGACCAAATCTTATATGCAAACTGAAAAGAAATTGAGGGAGTAAAACACTATATGTCCCGCTTTTGCTTTATTGTGTTGGAGGGAGGTGAACGACACTCACCCCGAGTCGGGCGTATGCGAGTGACGCAGCCCCGTAGGGGCGAACGACGCTGACAACCTGGCCCAGGCTCACCTGTCACGGGCGGCTTAGCGCGCAATATGGCGCCCACTAACACGACGATAACCCCACAGGAAGGTGGGCCCGGGCACGCCCACGACCCACCCGAAGGAATAGAAATAAGTCACCGAGTTGTGGATCCCCGAGGAAAACCGGCCGAGGGCGGGGCAGCCACGGAGATGGCACGAAGCATGCCTAGGAGACATCGGCGCCACGTGCGTGTGAAACGGACAATGCGGATGTCACTCTAGCGCGGCAAAGCCCCAAGGAGGCGGGTACTCACCATCCTTTATAGAAGTAAATGAGATTTGATTGGATGAAACATGAATTAGAGTAATTATATGAGAATTAAAATTCAAAATAGTGATGATTTATTTGTTTGATCATTATTGTATAGTTGCAAAATATTTATTTGATTCAAACACAAGCAGCATCCACATATGACAGGTGCTCATAATCCGTTGCACTTAGTAGACCAACAAAAAGAATGACAAGATAAAAGAAACACGGAAAACAATATCACAAACATCCACGTAGCGCCTTTGTAACACAAGGTGCAACACTCATTTTTATTTTGAACGACCACGTGCAACACTTACGCAATGTTGCCAGAGGTCACCGACGCATGCACGTTGAATCGGCCGAGTGGGCAGTGGCTCATGGGTTGACGTAGATGTCGAGCTCCAGCAGGTCGGGGCGGACGGTCTTCCACAGCACGTAGCCCTTCGCCATCCGGAACTGCCCCGTGCCGCCGACCACGGCCAGCTCGCGCACCGCCACGCCGGTGTCGTCGCGGCCCATCACCGTCACCGAGCTCCCCGCGTAGGCCCCCGACGTGAGCACCACGTTCATGGTCACCATCAGCTCGAACCCGCCCTTGGAGGAGGCGACGACGTACTGCCCCTGCGCACGCCCCACGGCGGCCGACGACGACGACGTGCCCTCCGTCAGCACGTCGTCCATCACCACCGTGTTGCCGAAGTTGCCCCGCGGACCGCGCACCACCATCATCGCGCTGTCGTCCATCACGTCGTGCATGTACACGTGCAGGTGCGCCGACGCCCCGGCCGCCGGCCGCGGCGCCGCCACCGCCAGGATGACGGCGACGGCTGCGGCGAGCGCGACGGACGTGGGGTTGAGCTTGAAGCAAGCCATGACCGGGATGAGTAGTGGAAGACAACAGGGCTTGCTAGTCCGTATCACTGCTGATGCAGCACGTTCGGGTTTGTTGTTTATATACAAAAACAGTAGGATTGCATCTGTGGTTCTGGAGATTTGCGGGTCCATGGTCCCTTGGTTGGTCCTTGATAATGGACATGAGGCGTATTATTTGTCGATCCAATTGCGCTGTGCACGTCAGGTTTTAATTGTCGCATTCGATTATTTACGCTTAAATGTAGAACAAAAAATTGGTTGGTGCCTCTCAAGAAACAACGGAGAAAGTTTGTAGGAGTACGTACATTGCATGGACGAAAGAGCGGTTGATGCGTCGGTGCCCATGCATTGCTGGCCGTAGATCAGAATGCAGTTGGGTGAGCTGTCTTGTCAGTATTGTCTCTCTTGATGGACTAGATCGAGATCTACGAACAGCCATACATCACTTACATGTTAATCTCCAACAAAATGGGTACATATATGATGTGATTGTAACTTGTAAGATGTTCATGGCATCCAAATGCGAGTACAGTTGCTAATCTGTTCAGTAATTTGTCTGGTGATCCGCGCCTTCTTGTCATTTGCCTTCTTTACATGCTATTGTGAGGATCCAGTGAACAGACGCATGTGCACAAGGCACGTCAGTGACAGTGAGGTGTCGTGCCAGGGCCCCGGATCTTTAATTCCTGTTGTTTTTTTCTGGATCGATACAGAGAGCAAGACTAGTGAAAGAGATGCCGCAGAAAAAATATACTCCTGTGGTTCATTCTAAACATGTCCATACGACAAAATTGTGGCGATGGACTACCGTAAAGAGGATTTTAGGATCTTCTGATGTACTCCCTCTGTCTGAAAAAGTTTATTCCTTAAATAGATATATCTAGCACCAAGTTAGTGTTAGATACATCCATTTAAGAGACAAGATTAAGACAAATTTTTTTGGACGGAGGGAGTAACTCTTTGGCTCGTCACAGCTATTCGCTACTCGAGGACTACATTTCTGTCCACTCCCCCTATCTTGTTTTCGTCACAGACGTACATGCGTCCAACAAGCGTTGGAGGACAACAGTTGGGTCCTGGACGTGGAGGGTGATCTAACTTTCAAAG